CCTATAACAGAAATATTAACAATATTATTCTGGATTTCGGGTTCGGCATTTAAAATAATTCTAGCTGTCCCTATTCTGTGTAATTTTCCAATATTACCTGATTTATTTTCCACAAAAACATAGTATGGGCCTTTATCTCCAAATGAATAGAAGTTTTTTTCTTGATTATTTTGACTTACTTGAGATTTTTCAATGTTATTTTCATTATTATTTACATACTCATTTTTTGATTTTAGATCCTCTTCACTGCTTTTCATATCCTCACTAGTTAATATTTCATAGCTTACATTATTCTTTCCCCTATCCGGCGGAATATCTTGTACCTCCATTTCCATGTTTAACTGTAATAAAAATCACACCTAAACACGGCAATAAAAAGTGGTTTTGATAAATAAGTAAACTCGCACTGTTCGATTTCAATCCTCACGCTGTGAATGCTAACCGAATACTGATATTTGTCCCTTATTCTATATTGTTAAAATTGTATGTTTACATTATTATTTAAAACTGTAAAGCTTGCTCATGACAGATGATCAATTATTTAAAAAAAAAAACAGTTTATTGATTAATAATCTATTTAAACACTTATTTATTTTATAACACTACTACTACTATTCTAATTTATATATATATATATATATATATATATATATATATATATATATATATATATATATATATATATATATATATATATATCGAATGTCTTTGAATCGTTCACTATTTATATTAACTACTGTCTATCTACTAATTACTCATTTATCTTTACTGTCCATATAATAACTGATACTGCGTTCTTCTCCACCAATATTTATATACCAATTTAAAATTATGGTGGAGGTTCCATAAGCTTCTCCGCCAAACTAGTAATATCTCGTTATATTTGGAATAGACTAGAAATATTATTCCGTTGATTTAAGAATATTTGCGAAAGTGTCTCCACCATAGTCGCCACATAAGTTTGGTCTAAAGGGGTTTAATTATGTATAATAATCAGACAAGTTGAGCCTCAAAGGCCAAATAAGACAGGGAGGGACTTGGAGGGTTAGAGCATGACTGAATAATGAAATGGCTCACATAACAATAATTTTAAATATACCCATATAATAGTCACAGTTTTGTTTAAATCCACTGAAATACAAATAAACCAACCATTAATTCAATGAAATAAAATTATCAAGTACTTTTTTTTCTTACTCGACAATATTTGATGTAGTAATACTTTAAATTTAGATTAGCTTTCTCTGTAATATGTGGAACAACAGAAGTAAAAGTTATATTTCTCATCTATTTTAATGAATTGAACTTATGTCCAAGCAAGCATTTTCACCAGTAGTAATGGTAAAATCTAAAAACACGAAAGTTAAACACGATAACATAAATGAAACATAACCTCATACTCCTTATTTGGAAACTGACAACTGACCAAATGCAATCACTGCCGAGACTTCTGGTTTAATTGTAAGAAATCACTTTTGTCGGGACTCTAATTGTAATTTATAAATTCCGACTGCCAGGTTTTCTAACTAAAATGTAGAAAATCCCATTTTTCAGGATTTGGATTGTAATTTCCAGGTGTCGGCTGGCTGGATTTGATCCACTGCCTCATAAAAAATGTCAAAACGATCAAAAGAGTAAACAGAGACTCTCGAAAAGATGAAAAAACGGAATGGTCAAAAAGTTTATTGTTATTGCTGTGGTTTGTAATATTTTAAGAAATTCTTCTTAACAGAAACTGTTATAAAGTGATGTACGCCTACATTTAAGATCTCATAAATATAATTTAAACTCCAATAAAGTTATTGTAAATGTTTCTAGCGACAGAACCTATTTATATTCAAAAGAAAATACGTTTCCATTTCAAGCATCTAAAAAGGGAATTAGGATTTTATTTTTAGTAAATAAAGTAAAGCAGCAAATTCAGATATTTGTCTGTATTTTAATGTGGAAAATTATAATAAATATTGACTCATTTACGACCAAGGAGTGAAATAAAAGTTATCAATAAAAAATAATAGTTTGTGCAGCAAGAGCGGATATGATGGCCATATTGCACGAAGACGAAATTTGGGCACGATGCCGTGGGCCGAGTGCTTAAGAGTCTGAGTGCGATATGGAAAATCCATAAAAATATTAAAAATAATAGTATTTGGAGGTCCAAAATATGAACTGTGACTGATGGATTTTATTCTTTTGCAGTGTTCTCATTACCTATAATGGATATAAAATATATTAGTTTAGTTGAACGCAATACTTTTTCGTTTTATAGTCTGTGCGTAGATAGGCTAATATCCATGTGCGTGTAAAAAAATGTTTTTTATTAAAAAACTAACATATGGTTAAAAAAATATAAATAAGTTACTTCGTAAAATAAATGATGTTGGGTATACGCAAAAATGGCCTAAAGTAGTAAGTAATATTGCCAAAAACTGTTGGCGTGTAGATAAACTGTGCAACGTTCACAAATATAAATTGTTTGACTTTTACACACACGACATCTTCTACTAGGATCAGTTCTAATGATTTGATTAACCCTCACTTCATTGGGTGGTTTTGATGAAAGTACCCTTTGGACAAAGTTCTTCATTTTTAGGAGTCGGATTGCAATAAATGATTTGTTGCGGCATCTTACTTTCATTCACAGTGTTGTAGAGTTTTGACTGCATTTGTGAATAGTGGCCACCACCATTTCTTACCCAACACACATGATTTATAATTTGCCATAACATTATCGTGCAAATCTACCACTCACATGGATTTATTATATGGTAAAATTATGAATTGTTGAGAAACTAAAACTTCTTTTTTTAGATTTTATTATATCTTTTAACAGAACTTACATTATAATGGGTACTGACTGCTGTAACAATAGGATTAGCATTCCACCTTATCAAAGAAATATGAGTGGTTTCCTCAAACTGTGAATCGTAGGAACTCCTCTTCTATTTATAGAGCAATTTACTTGACACCAGTAGACAGTTACTTGTTTTATTTTAGAGAGTCGTCTCTGTGGCGAAGCATCCTTTGGCTTTTAAAAGGGGCAACAGTTTGTACGATGCGAAAAAGTTATCAAAGAAGATATGATAATTCTGAACATTTTTCACAGTTGATAAAAGTCCAAAAACTACACTTGCACTAAGTCTATGATCAGTTTTTTTTCTGCATTTCCCGCGTAAATAAAGGAATGGTAAAGGTATCCACTCGAAAAACAAATGCACTAAATCGTGAATCCAATACGGCTTACCTTTAATATACATCTTGCACGAATGTCGCCCAAAATAGGAAACTATTTGCTCATCAGTGGACAAATCAAATAAAAAAAATCCAAACTGTATGAATGTCTGGTTAAGTACGTCAAAAAAGGGACGAAGTTTTGTGAACATCGTCCAGTTACATTTAGATGGTTATAATCACTCAGATGTAGGTTTTGCTTTATTGGTCTAAACTTATTCCTGCTCATAAATCCTCTGACCATATCCACAGTTTTATCCTCTTCTAAAGACCAATACTTATCTATCTGTGGTAAGGTATGGTATCCAGACAAAAGTATGATTACCATATTGTTCCGTGCGTATTTTTCCGAAACTTAATAATTAAATCCATTATGCTTTCGTCGATTAAAATCCAATAGTGACAGGCCTTCTATTCGCCTTTTAATTCTCGAATATGTTCCTGTTATTTAGATAGAGGAAGATGGTGGTGCACGAATTGCCTAGCTCTCCAAGTAGGTTTGCCAGTTTCTGCCATTTCTTCCAGGATTTGTTGACGTTAAGTGGCCAAATCTTTATCGTCAGATTCCTCATACGGAATATAGACAACGTAGATTTTGCTAAATTATACTTACGGAAAAAATAATATGTTTAAACGTTCACAAACTTCCAAGCATGAAAATATAGGTACTTATCATGTTCATCGTCCAAATCATGTATTACCCCTTCTAAAGAAAGCTCTAGCTGCCTTTTTATTAGAAATTTCGGTCTTTTTTAAAACAATAAAAACTCAAGCAGAGACACTCACTCAAACTCGAGCAGGACAGAGTTTTTTATATGCGTATTCAACACGACGAACTGAATAGACAGACATTAAATACAAATCGCATTCTATGGAACGAAGATAGTCGCCTCAACACGTGCTGTATTGAAAGATGAGTATCCCAATGCAGATCAAGACTACTCAGTTGTACAGTTGTATAGTATATCTACACAGAAACTATTTACAATTGTTTACACTTATTTGGCCGGTGATGCGAATATGCAAAACCATAATTCAAGAACTAATTTAGGAGAGAGCAGGTTCATTTAGATCATGCATTTGTATTTTATTGTGAATTTTGAAATATATTTAATAAAATGTGGACATCAAAACTTTGCAAATGATAATATATATATTTTGATTTTTAAAAATTTCGGAAAAACATGTAACAAAATTCGGTTTTTTTGGGCATTTCCCAAAAAAATACAAATAAAGAACTTTCTTAAAATATGATCTTATCACTTTTGTTGGAGCTTCTATCAATGATGTATGTGCACATTTCATATTCAAAATGAATAAATTTTGTTACGTATACGCATCAGCGAAAGTAAATGGGCTACTATTTTTCACATTTTAAACGCAACAATAAACTGTGATATGAATGGTTCTGAGATTGCACCATTTTTTTGTCGCGAACATATTGGCAAATTTAGCGGATTTTCACTAGTAGACTGTTCAATTTTAGCTACTTTTATTAGAGAGTTGAAACATCTTATAGTTATACCACATTATAATATATTTAAAAGTTTTAAAAGATACATAGACTATATTAATGCAATTGAATCATTATGTAACTTATTGATCGAACATTCCATGAATCACATAATATGACTTATGGAACGTTTTAAGAAGACGAGTTATCATTTTTCAAAAATTATCAGATATTTGAGAACTACCGGACTAAGTAAAATAAACAGCTTGTTTAGTTTCCGACCCTACTCATTGTCGTATTTGTTGTTGTGTTTCAGTTCTGCGAAGGCCCCCTCTACAGGACCTCCAAACCACCGGAAATCAAGTCGGCGTGGTCGAAATGGAGTCGTGAGTTGGAGAACACAACCGGCGGTGAATCACCGGAAAGCACAATGGAGACGAAGGGCAAAAACCGTCGTTCGGTCGCTACTTGCATAAATAAGTATACGTACGTTAGTGCTTTTGCTATTCGATTACAAGATTTGTAGATGCATTTACTGTTACAGTTTTTTACCACTCGCTAACTTTTCTGTTGCTCAAGGGCGTCGACTGTTTGATATTAGAAGTTTGTCAGGGGTTATATATTTAATTTGGAATAGTAACAGTTAAGTTTTGAGGCAAGTCTCTCTTATTTATCTACATTTGTAAACTCCAAACTTAACTCATATATAAATTCATAAACATAAAGGTACCCTGCAAATACTGGGAAATTGCAAATTTTTAAAAATTATAACTCATGCAATTTTGGAAAAAATAGGAATTCGTTAGAGGTAACTAATTTATGGGCTTATATAGGATATTATTGAAATACATGTAACTATTACACCAGATTATTATTTAGACTCTCCTAGAATATTCATTTTATTGAAAGGGTGAATAAATTTAAAAGATTTATTATAACCCTATTCTTGACAAGAAGAGATTCACGGAAGAGAAAATTTTTTTTAACATATTTGGTGTATATTTAATCAAAATACCGGAAAAAGCAAAACACATTTTTTTGCTTAGTTTTGATTTGTGTATTTTGTGTATTTTGTGTATTTTGTGTATTTTGTATATTTTGTGTATTTTGTGTATTTTGTGTATTTTGTGTATTTTGTGTAATTTGTGTATTTTGTGTATTTTGTGTATTTTGTGTATTTTGTGTATTTTGTGTATTTTGTGTATTTTGTGTATTTTGTGTATTTTGTGTATTTTGTGTATTTTGTGTATTTTGTGTATTTTGTGTATTTTGTGTATTTTGTGTATTTTGTATACAGGGTGTTATTGAAATACACGTACATATTAAAATGGGGAATAGTATGTAATGACCAAAAACGATTGGCACCAATTTTAACTTCAAATTCTAAAATTTAAATATTGGGGAAGAGTCCCCTTTTCCGACCTACTAGTTTCTATATTTAAAGAAGTTAAATAAATCGAAATTGAACTTACCCATAGAAATTGCACTGTTGCCGTAGCAAAACCAATTAATTCAAAATAAAGTTTATTACAGTAATTGTTTAAAATGCCGTCCATTATTATTTACACACACTTGCAATCGTCTTTCCAAAGAACTTTGAACATTAGAAATTAGTCTTGGATTTTGTCGTAGTTCCTCGGCTACCGCATTAACTTTATTGGTTAATTGTTCAACACTATTAATAGGTTCATTATAAACCAGTTGTTTCATGTGCCCCCACAAAAAGAAATCGCATGGATTTAAGTCCGGAGATCTCGGAGGCCACTTAGTAGGTCCATTTCTGCCTATCCACTTTTGAGGAAATCTAATGTTCAAAAACTGCCGTACGTTTAAATCAAAGTGAGGAGGAGCGCCATCTAGTAGGTACCACATCCGTTGCCTTAATTGTAACGGTATCTCTTTTAGGAGTACTGGCAAAATATCTTCTTAAAAGTGGAGATTTCCTGGCCCATTTAATCTGTTCGGGAGAACATAAGGCCCGATTAAATACTGATCTATTATGCCAGCCCAAACATTTATTGAAAATTTTCTTTGATGCCCAGTTTCCCTAATGGCGTGAGGATTTTCATCACTCCAAATATGCGCATATTGAACACGCCATCACGAGTGAATGAAGCCTCGTCAGTATACAATAATATTTTTAGAAAATCAGGAATATCAACACATTTTTGAATCATCCATTCACAAAACTCCACTCTCTTTTCTTCATCACCTGGATATAAGGCCTGGACTTTTTGGATGTGATAAGGATGTAAACCTTGTTCTTTAAGTGTCCGCCACACAACAAATGAGGACACTCCAATTTCAAGACCTAGTCTTCTACAACTTAATTGAGGCCGGTTTTCAACAGCTTCCAATATTTCTTCTTCGGCCGCCAATGTTCTTTGTGTTCTTGTTCTCCCTCGATCTGCATTGACACTCTTAAATTTTCCATGGTCTCTTAGATGCTGAACAGTTGAAATAAACGTAAGACAGTCCGGAATTCTCCGATTTGGAAACCGTTCGCGATACAGGATTTGTGCTTGCCGAGAATTTTCTCCAGCTGCCCCATAAACCAGCACTATATCCGTTAGTTCAATATTCGTAAATAGTGGCATCGTAAAAAAATATTTAAAAGTAATCGTAACAACACTTTTTACCAACTTGGAAATGACGCGCTCGTGTTAGCCAGATTCGTAAATCAACTAAAATTTTAATAATCTATAGTTTCAAAAATGTATAGTTTAAAAACAATCATTTATCAAATATTCTAGTTTTTTGATAACGAGGGTAGTAAAAACCAGTCTTCGGAAATAGAAATTAATTCGAAAATCTTGGCAACATGGTTATTTCTTACAAGACTAGTTTTCTTATCATCTGACAAAAACTTGCATATTAATTACTGTTGATGTTTAAAATAGGTAAATAAACCTAATTTATATAGGTCATCCTCAACATATCAGTGAAGTACGTTTGTTTTAGAATTAATTTTCAAAAATTAATAACTCCCTTAATAAGGGGTATTTTTAAAAAAATAATATTTTTCTACATTCAGTGGGGATCTGCGCAATACCCAGTTTTAATATGTACGTGTATTTCAATAACACCCTGTATATTGTGTATTTTGTGTATTTTGTATATTTTGTGTATTTTGTGTATTTTGTGTATTTTGTGTATTTTGTGTATTTTGTGTATTTTGTGTATTTTGTGTATTTTGTGCATTTTGTGTATTTTGTGTATTTTGTGTATTTTGTGTATTTTGTGTATTTTGTGTATTTTGTGTATTTTGTGTATTTTGTGTATTTTGTGTATTTTGTGTAATTTGTGTATTTTGTGTATTTTGTGTATTTTGTGTATTTTGTGTATTTTGTGTATTTTGTGTATTTTGTGTATTTTGTGTATTTTGTGTATTTTGTGTATTTTGTGTATTTTGTGTATTTTGTGTATTTTGTGTATTTTGTGTATTTTGTGTATTTTGTGTATTTTGTGTATTTTGTGTATTTTGTGTATTTTGTGTATTTTGTGTATTTTGTGTATTTTTTGTATATTTAAGGCCGAATATTATAATAACGGTCTTCGTCATCAATCTGATAATTACTGATGAAGTGAAGATATTTCCATTTTAGGGACCAATAATCTATGTAACTAGGCATTTGAACCACTGCCATAATTAACTCTTTCGCAAAAAAATTCATTGATGGTTAAAGCTATATACTTTTGTCAAATATAAATTGGTCTCAGAAACAATCAGTAGTAAATTTTTTTTTAAAATAGTCTAGTGCATTTGTGAAAGGGACATCGTCAGGACTGTTGCCACCCTCACTGAGAATCACTTTCTTTACTGAATGAACTTACTGAATTTCGTTACCCTTTTCGGCGACACAGTAGATTTTACGGATGGTACTGCCTCTTCTACTGCAAGGTTATTTCTATTTCTTTGATTACGATCTATTTGTAGTTATTCATTATTTTCGTGTGCCAGTTCAGGTTCGCTCTATTCTTTGTCGTCTTCTTCTTCATATATTTTATAACTACAATCTTCAAAGTCGATATTGTTTAAATTTGTAAGTACAGAACTGGAACATCTGTGGATAAAAAATCCCATTTAAAAAAAGTATCTTCATCGGAAACATCGCTTTCAATATTTTTGTTGGGTATTACGGTAACATAATCCCCCCTTATAGCGTATTTATTCTCACCAGCCAGGTCTAACAAAAATGTTGTGCGGTTAGCCTACAAATAAAAATAATATTATAGTGTACGTTATAGAATTTTTTTTACCGAGTACTTGGTAGAGTGTCCCACCAGATACAAATTTAATTTACTATGTACTTGGCCGCGTTTCTCCTCAGAAACATAACTTTTAGACAATCTCTATTTTATGTTAGTATTTTACTAATTTTTGCATGTAGTAAAATAGTATTAATATATATTGCTTACTCATATCTTATTATCGCGCCTATTTTCCAAAACACGTGTACTCACAATTTCTCAAAATTTTCGATTTCACTAACATGTATCTGTTTTAAAAGACATATCTCGACTAAAATGGAAGCAATCGACTTCAAACCTAAACGACCGTTACTACAGGGTGTGGTACAAACGGTGTTGCCAACATCATCCCCAAATTTAACGATTTACTACTTACAAAAAAAATCGGGAAAATTGGTATCTTGAGAGATACGACGCCAAGAAAAGGGTTAAGTGAGGCATACGCCACTGAAATTAAGAGCAAACATGACGGGCGCTCCTCCGCCAAAAAACAATTTTACACTTGAGGCAGTTAAAAAAAATTGTAAAAAAATGGTTCAGGCCAATCGTTCTAAAAATGAACCAAGAATGACTCTAAATCGCGAAAAACTTATATTTTTAAAGAAAAACAACAAAAATTTCAACATTTTAACAAATTAAATTTTTTGGCTCTTTAGCGTCATTCTATAACAAATATCGTAACTATTTTCTAAATAACTTTTTTTTTAAAAAGATTACCAAGTTAAAACCGAACCAAAGATTAACACAGTTTTCATTCCGATACTAATTCTATTAAAATAATGATACCAGTGAATATGGTAACGCTGCTAGTCTATGAAGCCCGTGGTTAAAATGGTACCAGATGTTTAGTTAAATTTGTTAATTCCTGTGTCGAAAAATAGGTAGTTGTTTTTGAAGAGGTGCGAAATTATTGTGATCGTCTTAGTTTGTTGTTGAGGCGTTGATAGGTTTTTGTTTAATTTAGTTTTTAGTTAATTTATGAAATGAAAAATTCTGGAAGGCAAAAATTTCTGCTGACAAATTTCTATTTTAATTGTTTGTTGCCAGAGTTAGAAAATCCTAGAGAAATACGACATGTGCCAATTAGGGAAAAGAGATTATCAAGAATTTGGCCCGCTTAAAAAAATGTGTAATATACAGGGTGTTTCTAAATACATGCGACAAAATTCAGGAGGTGATTGCTTGTATGAAATTAAGATGGGTCTTTCCTATAACAAAATTTCCTTAGCCCACCC